ACCTGGGCACACCTGGGGCACACCTGGGGGGCACAACCCCCACCCCTGGGCGCACCTGGGCTGGGTTGCCGCGCCCCGGGGGCGCCCCCAGGTGTGCCCAGGTGTGCCCAGGTGTGCCCAGGTGTGCCAGCGGCTGTGCCCCTCCCCAGGGCAGTTCTACGTGATGATGGCGCCGCAGGAGGTGCTGCAGGCGGGGGGAGGGGCCCCGCGCGGCCTCGCCCCCCACGGCCACGCCTACTCGCCGTGAGTGCACCTGGGCACACCTGGGCACACCTGGGGGCACCTGGGCACACCTGGGGGCACCTGGGGGACACCTGGGGGGCACCTGGAGGGCACTGGGCAGGAGTAATGGGGGAAACTGGGGGGGAAACTGAGGAAAATTGGGGAGTTTGGCACACCTGGGGGCACCTGGGCACACCTGGGGGCACCTGGGCACACCTGGGCATGGCTGGGGGGCACCTGGACACACCTGGGCACAGCTGGGGGTACCTGGGCAGGAGAAATGGGGGAAAATTGGAAAAGTTTGGGGGAAACTGAGGAAAATCTGGGAGTTTGGGCACACCTGGGGGCACCTGGGCAGGAGAAATATGGGGAAAATGGGAAAATTGGGGGGAAACTGAGGAAAATTGGGGAAAATCTGGGAGTTTGGGCACACCTGGGGATACCTGGGCACACCTGGACACACCTGGGGGCACCTGGGCACTGCTGGGGGTACCTGGGGGATACCTGGGCACACCTGGGCAGGAGAAATGGGGGAAAATGGGAAAATTGGGGGGAAACTGAGGAAAATTAGGGAAAATTGGGGAGTTTGGCACACCTGGGCACACCTGGGGGCACCTGGGGGGTACCTGGGCAGGAGAAATGGGGGAAACTGGGGGGAAACTGAGGAAAATTGGGGAGTTTGGCACACCTGGGGGCACCTGGGCACACCTGGGGGCACCTGGGTACACCTGGGGGCACCTGGGGGGCACCTGGGCACACCTGGGGGCACCTGGGGGCACCTGGTCAGGAGAAATTGGGGAAACTGAGGAAAATTGGGGAAAATCGGGGAGTTTGGCACACCTGGGCACACCTGGGGGCACCTGGGGATTTTGGGAGGGCATTTGGGGTCACACCTGGGCACCTGTGAGGGCACCTGGGCGCACCTGGGGGGCACCCAGGGACACACCTGTGCCCACCTGTGCCCACCTGTGCCCACCTGTGCCCACCTGTGCCCGCAGGAAGCTGGAGGGGCCGCGGGTGCCGCGGGACGAGCGACGGCGAGCGCAGCACAACGAGGGTGAGGGGCACACCTGGGCACACCTGGGCACACCTGGGCACACCTGGGACACACCTGGGCACACCTGGGGCACACCTGGGCACACCTGGGGGCACCTGGGACACACCTGGGTGCACCTGGGGGCACCTGGGCACACCTGGGGCACACCTGGGACACACCTGGGGGCACCTGGGCACACCTGGGGCACACCTGGGGGCACCTGGGG